ATCAAGGCTACATAAAAATACATTGGTCTACAGCAGCAAGTGATTGCTTAGCTTTTCCAATTAACTCAAAGGTGCTTTAGTTTCATTTAGTTTCCTTGGGCTATAGTTTGTTTGCCATGAGATTAGCACAGGTTGGACGTTGCCTTCATTTACACTACAACTAACGTCAAGGGTATAAAAGTCCTCCTATCATAGCACGTTTTTTTTTTCAATAGTTTTCTCACATTTTTACTGGGCGGAGGCAACTGAAATGTCATTCCCAAGTGCCTTGTATCCCTACATATAATTCCATAAATGCTGTATCGAAATTACTAAATATGGCTGTGAAATGCATAGCAACCGACCACCCCCAACTCCATAGCAAATGCGCACAACTACAAAATGCGAAGATCGTCCACGAATCAAGATAAAAAATGTGAATTGCACTAAATTTCCTGCAAAGTGTGTCATCCGCCAGCGTATTCAGTAATTTTAACACAGCATTTATGGAATTCGGGATAGGCCTTACAAGGCATTTGTGAATGACATTCGAGCTGCCTCCACCAGGTAAAAATGTGAGGAAAAACGTTGAAAAACAATTTTTACTGTGGCAGTAGGAATTTATATCCTAGACATCCACTGAGCTAGGCACTAGCTACTTCATATTGTTCATTTTGTTCTGTGAGGTAGTGTAGAGCAAAGGCATGGCTGAAACATATCAAAAACACTTTTCTGTTTTAAGGTAGGCCTGGAATAACAACGATATGGGCCTTGGCCTGTCATGACTAACTGTCACAATGTGACTGTTCTTACCTTACAGTCTCGGTGACTGAAGCCCAAAGAAGTACAGCGATAATCAGGCAAAACTGCATTCGCAATGAAGTGATTTCTCACGAAGAAATAAGGCGTCCACACTCAAAGCAAAGCGTAAACACAACTGGTGTTTCCATGGTTTGCGCTCAATTTATAGCGGAGGAGCAACATAGCAACCTACGCGTGACGTAACAATCATAACTCTGGCCAAAATGTACTCTTTCATAACTTCATAAAATTTGTTTTCATTAGAATATTATTCTAACTCAAATTGTGATGAACGGAATGTACAATATCACTGTTAATTTTTATCTATAAATTGGCTTCCGATGACATTATTTTATTTTGAAAAGAGCAGCCTTGGCTAAATCACTTTGTGAAAAGTTTCGAGAAAGAAAACTTTTCGCATTGAATTGTGGGATATTTTTTCTGAGAGTGTCAGCAGAGGGCGCGCTTTCACAAGAGTAGTGTAGAAAATTGCTGGTATCAGCGCATTTGGCGGGACTACGGGACGAGGGTTAGCCACGACCAGAATACAACAGGCAGGAGACGCTGACAGCGGCAAAATCAGAACTGCAAAAGAGACAAAATATACTTGTAAAATACACAAGAGAAAATAGACCGTGCAAAACTGGCATCTTGAATTACATTCACTAGAACTCTGGTGTTAAAATCAACACGTTTGGTGTAATCAGATGACCACACTATAGGATGTTACTTTAACACCGCAGGTGTTAATTTGCACCCTTATAAGTGTTACAGTGCCTTGGGGGTGATAAAAGCAACACCAAATAACACCGAAATGTTTAACACCGGTGAAAAGTGTTGGAGTAGTCTACGATAACACCCAAGTCTATTGTATTTCCGGTTTTCCTAATCTCCAAACCTGTAGGTTGTCGTTGCATTCACCATCACACCTCATCTGTAAGTCTATTCCACATTGTCTACAACTCTCTGCGAGAAGCACTTTCTTATGATTATTCAGTCCCTCGTCGAGCCGTTTTTTGAATGGCTCGGATTGTAGCTTCTGGTTCTTGGCGTTGTGGGGGACATGGACAACAGGTCTGTTGTATCTTCAAGACTTGATCAAATCTCTTCTGATTTTTAGTGGTGAACAAGGGCTAAATGTCCAGGGGCGCTCCGGGGGTGAATACATTCTTTTCAAGGGGGCATCACAAGAATATAAGCCGCAGCAGCATAGCTATATAAACTCAACGGAGATATTATTCACACATTCCAAACGGGGAGGGGGGTTACACGGGGAGCACGGGCATCTGCTGGGGAACACCTGTCCCAGTGCCCCACTCCTCTGTAGTTCCGCCACTGCTCATTTTCCTGATCTCAAAGGGGTACAGGTGAAGCTCATTAAATGTTTCATCATGCGACTGGTATCTGAGGCTTGGGACCAGCTTCGTTATATCCTCCGCTTTATCCTCTTTAAGCTGAAACTCTTTAAGCTGAAACTCTTTAAGCTTGACCTTCTGATATGAGTTCCATGCTTAAATACACACACAGTATGAAAGATGAGATCAAATGCCGTGTAGAGAATGGAGAAGCTCTCCTTATCTAAGTGAGTACATGTTCTCTTGATGATTTTCAGACAACCACTGCTCATTTTCCGCTGTTTCAGCATTGCATTGATGTTTGCTTTGCTGTATACATCTGTGATGTGAACCCTTCGATTTTTCTCTTTGCTGTCATCTCCTCTCCCAACGTATTCATCTTGGCGTTATCACATCCGGCTGTAGGCACGCATTTCCATACATGTACTGATACGTGGAGTAGTATACGTGTCTGTCCAGTGGTGAAGATCGTTTGTATAATTTTGCTCCCTTCTGTATCGGATCTGCCACGGTGCAACCTGTTGTACAGCTTAGTGTTTTTGGTAAACATGGTCGAATTTACTACACTGTAGACAAGAGCAGTGGCGTAAATTTGTGCCGGAAATTGGGGTGGGGTGAGGAATGGTGGGAATGACCTGCCCAGCCATGGAAATTTGAAAAGTGGGGGGGGGGTTGACACCATATGACTATATATAGGTCGATGTTCATGATATTTATGAACATCTCTCATCATGTACATGTATCCAGAATGGCATATTTGTGGCTTTTTCAAATTGTTTTCCTATAAGTGTCACTGAATGCATTTTAGTCTGAAAAATCCTTCACAATCTGCTTTAATTTTTTTGCTGACCACAAAAAGGGGGGCGGTGATTCGATAGCCTCCCCCCACCTCAAAAAGTGAGGTGCCACTACTTTTCCTCGAGTAGTCTCCATGAACAAAATGCACTGCCGGTTGTTCAAGTTGGACCGTCTAAATTGCAGACCGGTGACAATTTTTAGGGTTCCATGTTGTAACACCATGTATTCTAAGTGTGGCCGGAGTAATGTAAAATAAAACTGTTTCTTCACCTTTTAAGAACTCATGTAAAAACAATCGTTTGATGAAGCTGAGAATTCTTGTTGCTTTATTGATGGCATGCCACGTCTGGGTTTCCCGTCCCAAGTCATCTTGGATTTTAACCCCAAGTACTATGAACTATGAACATGCTGCTTCAAGGTGTCCTTCCTGAACCAGCGAAGTGCAGAGTCCACCACAAGAGCCTTCGTTGCTAGGAACTTCACACTCTCTCTTAATTCCGCTGGGGCCCAGTGTCTGAGTGTCTACAATGGAGTGGGGCGGAGCCTACCTAGACTGATGCAACCTAGATGCAGCCTCAGTGTGATGCTATCACTGATCTCCATTATAATGGAGATCAGTGGATGCCGTCACCACCGCAGTAATGGTGTCTAGGTTTCAGGTTGGTTAATACCAAAAGTCAGGAAAGTATACTGTTCATGCATTGTAGAACTTCGACTACATAATGCAGTGTCTGACACGAAGCCTAAAACATACCTGACATTGAATATAGGGGAAATGGACTTGATCTCCTGAACCGGCAAATAGGCCGGAATGAGAAATGGCAATTTTTTTTAACACGGAAATGGCATTCCTACATCCTCCGGGATCCAGTTGGCGTGCGTATTTGTACAAAAGCAAATTACCACCTGCGTTCCCGGGATAAAGTATCTTTTAAAGAAACTTGCCATTGAATCCAGTATAAGTTATCTTGGAAAATGCGGATCTGACCGAGCGTACCATGAAATTATTTTTCATTTCCACAACAGGTAATTTTGGCAGATCCCTAGAGAAACTCCAGGGATGTTGGCTTGCACGTCGATGTTGGGGTTTAATTAAAATTCCCGGCTTGGAGCACCTTTCTGTTGATGCTATGTCAATGACACTGAAGAACGCCCTCTGCGAGCGCGGAATGGCCAAAGTCTTTAACACATGACTTTGTTAGTACTATACATGTATAATGTCTTCAAACTGTTTTCAATATCTTAAAGTAAGGAGGAGTTTTATTTGCTTTACGTCCTTTATTTGCCACAAAAAAGCGAAATGTTTGAACATTTGGCGAGATGTTTGAGCACTTTTTAAGTACTAGATTGATTGTTGCGCAGTACACGCTAGAAATTGCCATGTGTACGTGGTTACGAATCGACGTCGTCATTGGTCTGATAACCACTTCAAGCAATCACAGGCACATGAGGATTTGCTTGTGGGACCAGACTGTAATCGCTGCATGCACTTCTCATCAGCGTATTATGCATGCATCTCAGAGACTAGCGAGTGATTGTCATACTTGTTCAGTAAACTCGCCGAGTGTGAAAAGAAAGCGACTCCTGAAATTGCCGTCTACGTTGTGATCGTGACTGAAATGTGATCGAGGAAACCTGCAGATGTTTATCGCTGCAGTGGATGGTCGGTCCAATCATAGATCCAGTGATGGATCTCTGTTGGCTTTCCCACGTTTGAGACGCAGAATTGCCAGAAATGACTGTTTCGTGTTCTGTCCTTCCCGACGCGACAGACAGGACGCTAGCTGGCTTGGCCTACCCGGGGTGATGTTTACACGCAGACTTAATGCGGCTGTGCATTAGACACTTGGGCAAGGGGAAAACACTAACAAGTGACCAAGAATTGCCAACGTCTGTTCTGGTAGTTTTTGTCATTTATATCTAGGTGAGTATAGGCTACTGCTTGAAACTGACTCGTGTCTGGACACTCCATGATACATAGGGCCTATTATTATTATTAGCTTCATGCCTTATTGCAAACAGTAACACCACATGGGTGATTTTGTGCCCCTTTTCCTTCCCATGATGCCATCATACTTTTGTGCAAAATCACTCTCGCAATATTAGCGATAAGGCTTATTTTATAGATGAAAACGTCTTGAAATTTGACATTGATAATGACCAATTTGACATGATTGAGAAGCACATGTAGGGCTAACGTCTGATGCAGCAAAATTTCATACATGCCTGTCTTAGCAAGGTTACATGTCACCTGGGGAGGTTTATTTACTTTATATCTCATTAAAATTGTGAAATTCATGAGTATTTTGCCTATCCACGCTGCGTAAAATCAACAACATGTGCTCTCTCGATCGTTAGCAGCAGCATGACAGCTTGACCAATCACACCACAGATCATCATCCTATATGGTGTCCGTACATGTATATGGAACTCTGACCTACATGTATTTCTTCTCCAGAAATGTTTCTATCTTCATATATGTACATGTAGATTCCCTTCAAAACCAGCCAAAATAACCAGCACATGTTATTGCACCCATCCATTTGTTTTCTGTAGTGCTCCAAAAATTGGACCTGATTACTGTAAAAAAAACAGACAGCAATTCGATAAATTTGATAACTTGTATGCATCACATCATTGCTTGTAGGTATGAGAGTGTCTGTGTGTAGACTGCTAGTTTAGTCCACAATCCTTTATATTGGTCCCTTGTGTGTAATGGAAAATGGAGCATTCAAGTCATCCAAACAGCTGGTACCTGTGGTATGTAACAAAGACATGTTCTATACTGGTACCTACATGTAGTAATAGTACAATATGTAGTTGAAGCCCTATTGTACATTGTACTAGCAGAGTTCATCCAGAGGAACAGCACATCTCCATGAGGGTTTTAGCAGGGCAGGCCGCCCTGCCAAAATTTTAGACCCCCCCGCTAAAGTTTTGCCACCCGACCAAAATTCTCACTGCCCTGCTATTTTTTCTATTGGATTTTCCCTATTCTCCACCATCTTCACAGTTTATCTGAATGCAAAGCAGTTTACCGCACTTTATGGAACGAACGTGATGAGTTTGAGATAGTTACCACAAGCAAATTTGATTCAAGGAGTCAGTTAAAGTGCCCAGGAAACACCTCAGATTGCACCACAGAGCATTTGGAATCTAAAATTTCCCGGGGTCCCTGAGCGGGCCCGAGACCCCATGCCATGGCTTCATGCTCCGCATTCGCACTGTGTGCTGCCCTTCTACAATTTTAGGCTGTGGAGAACACTGTACATGTACCATTCTGTCAGAATTCATCTAACAAGTTCTTGGACAGTTATGCCAGCCGTGAGAAGTATTATAAAAGTTTATGAGCGCTATAAAATAATAAAATTCTTTCGACAAGGGGCTGAGGAGTTTTCAGTTTCACTTTGACATCCTTGAACCACAAGTGACAAACTACCAGAAGACAGGGTTTTGCTGCCCTGTCCTGTCGAGATGTGCCATGTACAGACAGGGTTTTGCTGCCCTGTCCTGTCGAGATGTGCCATGTACAGGTGTACACAAGGCCAATTTTTTTCTACCATGCTAATAATTTGGGACTCTTGATGCTTGTGGCCCGTCTTAGTCAAGTGCAGCCCAACCATACCGTACTTGGACAAATGCATGTACACCAGCTTCTCCACTGATACCAGGGTACCGGTATATGTCACGATCGTTCATGCATAATGGCGCGCGTGGTAATTATGTTTGAACCTGCGCATACATGTAAGTAATTACATGTAGGTTTTTGTAACCTAAAACCACACAAGAAGGTATGATTCGTCTGCGATTGTAACGTTCCTATGTAAATACATGTAGACTGGTTCCTCGCAAAAAAACTTTGAACACTATTTTTTGGTTCAAAAACTGAATTTTTTGGAGACTTTGTTGACTTCTAGTCGTACCGGTAGTCAGAGAGTTGATGTAATTTTTCAGTGTTGTCACTAACGAGCTAAATATTTTGCTGGAAAAGTGTGGCTGATCTTGTGTTCGCCTATTTTGGGTTTAGAAGGTCAAGTTCATGTGCGAGTGAATAGGGACTTGTGTGCATTGTAGAATAAGCACATTCACGTGTATGTTTCACCCGTTCCGTAATAAGACAATGTCTCATTTATTTGGAGGCTTCAAAATATGAAGCACTCAATTGGAACTACCCGTTCAAGATTCTGTGCCATTCCTAAATGCCTATTCTGATTTCATTAAGCGTTTCAGTTGTCTTTGTCCCTCTGTGTTGTGGCCTTTTCAAAACTCCAACAGCACCTCCGCATATACAGTATGTGGCTCTGCAGTTACCCATGAAAAAAATTTTAAAATCTTGGAAATATTATAAAATAATGACTTGATCTGCCGTAACTTTATGGTGACCATTAAAAACCAGCAGACTTTATTTTCAAAGGTAACGGGGAAGCTTAGTCTGAAGCTAAATTGAGCCTTTTGATGAATTATTGATAATTAATCAGTAAGGAATTTACATGTTCCATTTTTTTTTCAAATTTGAACACTTCTTTAAATGAGTCAAGTTGTTTTGTGTTTGTAGTGATTTTTAAGACCTCGACGGTTCTAAATAATGACATTGAGTACGGCTTGTTGCTCAACTGCAGTCAAGAAGGCTCAAAGAGGACATAAGCCATAAAAATTTTCATAAAGAAAAATACTGACACTTCATCTGAGTTTTGTCGCACGAATGGAGACTGGGGGGGTGTCTCAGTGAATGCTGCTATCAAATACCTTTTTGAAACACCATCATTTTTTCAACTTTTGTGCTCTCACTTCAGCAGGGCCACTGCATGCAAAATAACTAGATACCTGTATATGTAGCATATGTCTTTGGAATTTTGACATCTAAATGTTCATTATTTTCTAGTCCAACATTAATAATTAAAGTTCCTCCTGTTAATAATTTTGATCATCAGCTCTGACTAATTGATTTCAAAATTAAATACATGTATTTAAGTATTAAATTGGCTATCCAAATAATAAAATAATCAGCAAAGCCTTACCTGTACATCATGTACATGCACAGCAGCAGTTATTTCTACAAAACAGTACAGAGAGCACTTGTACAAATGCACTTACATGTACATGTACATGTAGTTTGCTTTTGAAGGCATTTTGCACGAGGATTTGGTTTTGTGCAGGTGCACCACTTTGAAAATGTTGGGTGGATCAGTTGATCTGCACAAGAAATCAATCTCTTCTCAATTCTTGATCTTGTAGTCCAGTCTGTCCACAACATTACATGTACCTCTAGACGATTGCACTTTCTTTGTACTTCACGGTTGAGGAAGACTGTTTAAAAAAGAAAGTGAAGTAACGTCCAAGAATATACAGGATTGACTGCTAGCACAGTACGATTGTGCTGATCAACCGATAAGCTCACCAAAAATATTTGAACGTGAAAAAATGCTGCCCTACGTGTACCCTTAAAAGTTCACTACACTGGTTAATATGGAAAGAGACTGGATCCCCAGCTGTGCAATGAATATACAATTTACAACTGTACATGTACAATTGTACACATGCAATTGTACACCTTACACTATACATGTAGCTGACCACAGTTTCAATACCAGTAGGGCCTCTGATTGGCCAAAGTGCTTTTTATGTACATGTAAGTACTATGATCTCTAATACATTGTATGTACATGTAAGTACTATGATCTCTAATGCATTGTACATGTATGTACATGTACCTGTAATTGACTCGTACACAGTTGAGGATTGCACACAGTTGAGGATTGGACAGTATGATACATACATACATGTACATCTATTTGTGCACAGTGTGTACATGTACAGTGTACATGTACATAACAGTACTTGAGGCAGGCCTACATGTACCCCTACATCAGACCATGGGCTTTAGAGTCAACATTTGCATAGCAACCAACACTCACCTCACACAGCACCTATAGTACATGTACAGTGTATGTCTGATATGAGGTCCTGTCACCAGTCTGAACCACTCAGGTAATGGCAGGTCAACAAGTGACATGTTTATGAGCTGTCAGGTGAACTGACCCCACATTGGGTTTATTTACTTGATGAGGTCACTGATAAGGTCCTCATTAACAGGATTGAAGATGTACTGTTTGTTGATGTCTTGGGTTACAGGTACTGTGATTGTTGTTTTTCTGGAAATTAGGAAATTGTTCAACTCAGGGAAAGATACCAAATGATATGTGCCTATAAAGAAATTATTTGTTTAATATTTTTTGCTGTAATGTTGATATGAGATCGGTGAGATAAATGCAGTGGTTTTTACAAGATGAAATATCAATCAAAGTTATCCTTTAGACTTAAGCATTTCTGGCGTTGGTTACATATAGTACATGTACACTGTACATGACAGTGTTTCCCCTGCCTATTTAGCGGTGAGGCGGCCCACTTCACTGATTGTAGTGACCACCTCAGGCTTTTGTGTTGAATTTTACCACCTCACACTTAAAACAGACAAAGATGGAAGGAAGAAGCAAACAAGTTAGATAGTTTGAAATAAATCAGTTTTAAATCATTCAGAAATGATGAGGAAGGGCACAGAATACAAGATTGATTAATTTTGGACAAGAAATTTGGAGTAGATATACCGGTACAATGAGACTTCTATAGAATTTATTTTATGCTTTTTAAAATCACTCACTTTTATTCTAGGCACGAGAATTTCAGCAAATTTGTTGAACCACTTCACACATATCAGTACCTCGGGGAGACCCTGGTTACACGAACAATACATACAGTACATACATACAGTATGATGAATCTATCTTTTTTTATTTTAGTCTATAAACTAGTGATGCTTGCTCGTTATAGTGGTAACTTCTTGCAGCATGTGGCAAGCTACATGTACCTGTACGTACATGTACGCCTACATGTACATGTATACTGCTGGACTGTACATGTATGGTA